GAAAAAAAGGATAATGATTTCTATCGATTTTTATTTGATGAGACAGCGCAGGAGACGCTAACTTTTTTTCGTTCGAGTTTGAAACTAAGGATCGGTAGTCTGGTAAATTTTCTTTTGGAACGACGGTGAAAAATAACTCGAGACAATGAATTATTTCAACCGAGTTGTTATTCCTGTTGGGGGAAGTTTATCTTGGATCGAGATTAAAGATCAAAAGTTTTAAATGCAAAATTTTATATGAAACGAGAGGATGAAAAGTAACAATTCGAGATGCTGAATTATTTTTTACCAATTTGTTATTTTTATTTTCGAAGATTAATATAGGGAAAGTTTCTCTTAGGTTGAAGTTGAGGATCGGACTTGGGCAAATTTTATTTGAAACGAAGATGGAAAATAATATATTTGAGATAATAAATAATTAATTTGTTATTTTCATTTGAAGAGGAACAAGTCCAAATTAAATAAGTCATTGCGAATAATTTTTCATTTGAGTTAATTCGTCAACAAATAATTCCGCCGGATGGCGAAGTAAATAAATTAATAAAATAGAATCAGAAATTATTCGTCATGTATTTGCAGAAACAAATGTAAAATACAAAATGAAGTGAAAGATTATTTTATTTGACAGCCAAATAATCAAAATAATTTGGGGAAGAATTGTTTGCTGGTTCAAGTAAATTATCGTTGGATTGCCCCAGTTTAATCATCTAGTCAAATAAATTGATATGTTATTTAAATAATCATTTTCCAAAAATATTTTATTCAAATAATGCTTAAATTTGAATGCAATGTGACAGGCGAGTACGAATTTGCCCAGCAAGTAGATACTCGCGGAAACTATTTAATGAACATACTGTGAGTCCATTAAGATTTTAATTTCATTCTAAGAATGTTGTTATGAAACTTTGTCTAGGTCTTACGTGAATCCAAATTGTGCAGTCGATGCGTTTTTCGATAAAATTTTTCAGCATTTATATTCATCATATTTTTGTATTTCTGTAGTTTTATATTTCTTAAGCTTTTATATTTCAATATTACAGTTAATTAATTCAGGAAATAAAATGGAGTTATAATATTTAAGATGAAGTTTAACATAAAACTTGCTCGAAGAATCTCGTGTAATTGTAACAAGAAATTTTTAATATTTCGTTTAAACTTGAAATATTTTTCAATTTTAGAGAAATGAATTGAGAATGACTGAAAGAACGCAGCAGGATTAACCGAACAACATGCCATTAGAATATCAGCCGAACGGAATTTAATATTCGTAGCCTCTGGCCATTCAATTAATACCACCCACAATTTCCGTTTCAAACATGTTTTTATCAAAACCGACGGATTTGAAGGAAATTTAATTATAACTTTTATCAACGATAATATTAATCAAAGCGTTACACACACGCAGAGTAATAATTTAAATATTACCACACACGATATTTCGTTATTTATTACTAGGTACCGAGTATTATGCACGACGAGCGGTTGAACATCGAGTGGAAGTAGAGCATTAATTATAAGAATTATAAGATACTTTCACTTGAATTTCTAAACTACTACGTAAACTATTGACCCTTCATCGCGAAAAGAAATGGAATATTTAAAAAAGAGTGTATATTTCGTAATTAAAAAAAAAAAGAGAGAAGATATATTTTATACCTAGTTTGTAATTGTTGGTAACAATTGATCGTTGACCAGTTGAAATAGGTGAAGGCTGGCAACGGGTAAAACTTTTGAATATGAGTGTAACAAGCGTAAAAAGTAAGAAGCAAGCGATTCTGTAAAAGTAAAACCAAAGACAATTTCAACGATTGATATTTTTTTGACAGTCTAAACATACATTGTTATATTGTTACGTCATGTTTACATTTCTCTTAAATAAAAGTACACTTTCAAACTTTTCATTATGCACACATTCTGCCACCTCCAATAATAATCGATAAACATCAATTGTCAAACTAACTCGATTTTGCTAAAATCGTACGAGACGATGAGAGATGCTTCGAATCTGGCAGCAGCCAGAAACTGAAATTCCACGCTGGCAATAGGATGCTTTGCACCTTCTGCGAGACGTGCACGATCCACTGGAACTGAAACGGTTTAGCAGGGACGATACTCAGTACGGGACGAATTCGATGTCACGCCAGTTGCTTACGATTAGCGTCGTGCTGGCGCGTTCACGGATAATTATATAGAGTGGTGTAATTGCACGCCGTTATCGGTTGACGCCAGCAGGCTGGAATAATCCGCGCGCGCGAGGTCTTCCATCCTCCTCGTCTCCGTGGCTCACCTACTTTCGCTCGTCAGCGATAATTTGATTACGTCGTTCTACCGGTCGGTAGACCGGTCCATTTTCAGTTGTTAATATTCGTAATGGCAGGCGGATCCTCGGTGCCCGCCGCAATCCGGCGTAATGCAGCTTTCGGAACGTTAATTTACGATAATGTGCCCGGGGCATGTGAGATGCGGGCAACTTCGCGTCGTAGACCACCTGCAAAACGCGTTGCGAGCCGCGATGGCGGCTACCCTTCCGTTACGAAGGAGACGCGTGCCAGGGAAAAATCACGGGACTCGGGGATCTGATAGGCGGGGATCTCGTGGGCCAGTTTGTAAATCCAGGGGGCGGTTAGCGGTAGTTAAAACGTGGTCGTTGAACGACGAGGTCGTAAGTCGCACGGAATTGAGTCGTAAAAGAGAAACTTGGCACCGACCAGGGGGGGGGGGGTGTATCTGGTACAGAGGCAAAGTTCAGATTCGCGTATTGATAGACTCTGCAGATTCGTCGTAAAAAACGTTTAGATGGAGAGTTGGATTGGATGGGCGAAGCAGTATGCAGTTTGAATGACGAACAGCGCGGTTATTGGATAATTCACAGTTTCGCGAAATGAAATTCTCACGTTGAACGTAATATCGTAATAGATAAAGATTTTCAATATATATAGAGGAAGTTTTAAGAAATATATTTATATTTAAGAAGTTAGTGATGCAATTAGAAGTTGATATTTCTTTCAATGTAAGTAATAAAGTTGTAGTGATATAGAAGTCAGGTTTGCTTTTTTTGTTATTATTCTGCACTATTCAGTTAATATTTGATATACTAACGAAATAATATATACTATTAAAATAATGTACTGTAATTAAACATTTTGTCGACTTCTACTGCTTCATTATGATAAATCTATTTATAATCACATTTGATATAAAGAAGAAAATGATTAACCTTTACTTACGGTTAATAAAAAACATTTGAATATTTTATAGTTATAAATTGATCAATATACGAATGGATTTTTACAATTCCATCACCAGTAGCGAAAATTTTTTAAACTTTTTGTTTTCTTGCTCAATTGCGTTTCAAAATGGTCATTATTCAATGCTAAATTTCATTATTTAACGTTAAAATTATTAATACGATAAGAAATAACTTTAAAAAATAACAATGCCAGTATGTGTATCGATGAATTTGTCTTTGAAACAATGAAAAGTACAACAATGAAATTTCAGAACCTCTAGAAAAGACTATAGAATCTATTTAAGCATTGTGCTTGAAACAGAGTGCAACTAAGCATTCTGAACTCTTTCCTTCACCCAACAAACAATTCTGTTTCAAACGTTGGCTCGTCAACAATGTCGTCAATGTTTCCCCATATATGGAAGTAATAGAATTTTGTTTTAAACACGACATCCTCTGCGAACAACGCGTACATCGTAAACGCACGATATGTCAATTACAACATCCTATCGAATGTGCACCTCATCAGCGCGACCTACCCTTAACGCATTACCAATCCTCGATCGATACACTGTTCCCTCTCCTCCTTTACCCTATTATCGATAAATAATTCCCACCGTCTTCCATGTACCATCTTGTGTGCACAGTTTGCACCATGTTAACCCTTTGAGGATGAATGTACAGGCTTCTCGATTTTGTTCTCCTCAAGTCGAATTGTTTCTCAAACTATATAGATGTTGAACATCACTTTCAAAGATATGCATCTTTGGAGAAATATGAAAACAAAATCGTGATATACTAATTCCTTTATATTTTAACAGTGAATAATTCTTTCGTCGCAATTAGAAAATATGAGCCATTTACTTTGAAAAAGTGTTTTATTTTTAAATTGAGATATTTAAAGATTTGGGTTAGAAAAATTGATGCTAACTTTCGAAAAGATTCACTTGTATGTATTATCTCGGATGTTAATATTTTTAACGAATCATCTTCTATTATTGTAGTGACTTATGCTACTTTCAATATGAATGACTCGTATATCTTTATTGAGTTACGATGCATTAGTGAGACGTAAATAGTCGTCTAATAATATCATTCTAACTTTTTAGAGTTATAATAAACTTTATAATAATAATATCAACTTTTTAGAGTTATAATAATGTTAACTTTTTAGAGTTATAATAAATTTTAAGTTATAAGTTATAATAAACTAATAACATCAACTTTTTAGAGTTATAATAAACTAATAATATCAACTTTTTAGAGTTATAATAATATCAACTTTTTAGAGTTATAATAATATTAACTTTTTAGAGTTATAATAAACTAATAATATCATTCTATCTTTTTAGAGTTATCAACGTCGATAATAAATAAAATTTAGTTTCTCTGAAATTTTCATTATTACCTTTTTCTCAAAAATATGTAAAATAAATATTTCCTTTGAAACTCATTTTAGTACCGACAGATTCTATTTAAATATTTAAAAAAAGGGAACAATTCGCGTTCAAGAAAGAAACACGTTCAATATCGCTGCTAATAAAATTTTCACAAAGCGACACACAATCTCCTCTACCCCTAACATCTAGGTCATCAACGTGCAATCTCATTTCAGATGAAAAAAAAAAAAAAAAAAAAAAAAAAAGAAACCTTCACCAAGAATCAGAGTCGACAAAGCACTCGTCCACAAGGGTTAAACCACTCGGCGAAAAATTGCGAATCTACTGCGGAAAGCTCCCCAAAGAAGGAAATTTCTCGCGATACTTCTTACCTTTCGACTCGACTCGCCGCGGCACAATTCCCAGAGGAGACACAGAGCCAGCGAAGAAATTCCAGTTTCCTTGGCGAGTGTGGCCATGGTGGACGACACGAGGGCCAGTAGCAAAGGGAACGGCGATCTGGTGCGCTCGCAGTGGGCGCTGTACGCGAGGAACGCCGTCAAAGTCAGCAAACAGGCGAGAAGGTCCGCGCGACCGACCACACCGGCCACTGCCTCGCTGTGAATCGGATGAGCGGCGAACAGGAAGCCGGTGATCGCGTGGCCGAGGTTGTTTCTTCCCGGCAGTACCTGCAAAACGCGAGAAATTCACGCGGTGAATCATTGGACAATAGTCGCTGGGGATCGTGTGCTTCTCTCCTTCATTGTTCCTGGGCAGCGTTTTAGCGCCGCCAGTCTTTACAATCGGGGAGACAATGAACTGACTCTCTCTCAGGGAAAATAGGAATAGAGAGCGGTTCAACTCTGTTCCTCGACGATTTCTGTTAATAATCTAAGCTAAATGGGGGTCTAGATAGATCGAGAAATGATATTTCGATCTATCCGATTCGAACGTTTCTGATCTCTCCATGCTACGTGTAATCGCGTCGATCGAATGAAGGAGCTCAAATAAGTGTGCCACAGAATGTTGGAAAATGAGAAACCTTATTAACCTCTTGCCACGCACGTCGAGAACTCCATTTTTTCCCAAATTGCAGCATTTTCTTCAGTTTCAAGTATATTTTAAGTGTAACGTAGGGAAGACAAATGATATGTTTTTTACTTGTTAATAATTTCTATCCGGTAATATCGTACCGACGAGATTCAAAAAAAAATTATTATATACGGTTCGGTTTCTCGTTATGGTCCGCGCAACCAATTTCCGGCGCAAGTAGTTAATTGCATCTTTTCGTGTTTGGTTGTGTTACGGCAAGCTCGTCGCTCTCTCGTCGTGCCTTTTACAGCCTCCGGAGAGATGTTTTATGAAATGAATGAGACGTTATGTGGAATAAATACTTATATTTCTCAACAAATACAAAGTGACTGAATTGAATGAGTGAATGAGTGACCGACGCGGAATCACTCCTCTGAACTGATTTGGTGTAAATGAAAATGAATGTATGAACTGACGTGGAGTCAGTCCTGCGGACAGGACTGCTTGTGACTCGTTGAGTGGTCTACGTGCGACTGCATTTAATCGTCTGTTCGCTACGTGAATCTACGTCGCCTTTAGAATTGGTAGGCGACTTTCTGGAGCCGGCCAAGGCGCCTTGTTTCCTAGACAAGGCTTTGTTTATGTCCTACCGAGCCTTCCACATACTGTCTCTCTCTCCAAGGCCAGAGAAAGTGTCCTTAGATGAGAGGTATGTTAGCACATCTGGCAATTCTCGGCAGGGCCGAGGCTTTGTAGGAATTGACCTGACTGACGCCTCGGAGGGTTCTGTTCTGCGCCCGAGCAGGTTGTTTCCAAGTTTAATATCGAATGAGGAGCATTTATATCTATATTTATTCAATATATTATCCTTCTCTAACTTCGGATAAAACGTTCGAGCTATGTAAATAATTATTTCGTTATTAATTATGAGAAAATCTGATTGAAATGGTTCGAAAAGATGGCGGACTTGATCTGTTAAACGGAGAGGCGAGTTACAATAACTCGTCACTTGGGTTTTTTTTAACTTTCCAAATGGAACTTCTTTATTTGTAAATTATTATTAAATCACATTTTTTTCATTTTTTTCATTATTAATCAAGTGACATGTACTTGTGAGTAGCGGAGCCTGTGAAATTGTCTTTTGATTTTACCTTGCGAACAGCGAAACAGCTTTTTGTAGATTTTTATTAACATCTCCCTGATTGAGAACAAGACTGCAACGCTGTTGTAAAATTTCGCAACGTTGAGCCGGGCTTGTAAAATCAACTGTAGAACAAGCAAATACGCATCGTATCGCATGACTATGCCAAATACAGCAGCAGTTAACGGATAAAAACTGGCAAAGCACGATAAACAGAACGTGTGCGTCTAGAAACACCCTTGTCTAGAAAGAACGATTTAATGAAATGTTAATAAACTACGAAATTCCGCTTGCCGCGTGTGAAACAAAACCTGATTCGATGCAGCGGCACGGCATTTATTTCAAGAAGAATCGGTATCGATATCCGATATATCGAGGTACCCAAAATTTCGACACGTGTCGATACGACTCTCATCGAGTGTTTTGTTTATCGAATTAACATCGAATCGTTACAATGGTATCGCCGCTGTTACGGCACCGGAGGAGCGTTCTTCTTGCGCCGGGCTCCTCAATTTCCACGAATGGTTTTCATCGAATGAAAAAAAAAAAAAAAAGAAAAAAACCCTCGTCGAGAAGCAGAGAGAAACTCGTTCGAATATTAACAGCGCTCGATGACGGGTGGAACGACTGTTCAACTGTTTCGCAGTGTGTTTCGAATATATTTTCGCCGAGCGTGTGCGGCAAGATGAAAACCGATTGCACTTATCCGCGGGGAACGACAATGGCTCGGCCGTAACGGACGTTATGTTGTCGGGGGCGGGATTGAAAAAGCTGAAAGCACGGAGGGGACGCGGAGGCTCTTGAAACGAAACAACGGATTTCCCCTGGTAATCCTATTTCCATTACGATAACCGTGGCAGGTGACACGCGTGGCCGTCAAGGGGCCGGAGGACGAGCGCGGCGGCGGGGCGCGGCCGCCGCGCGATTATTAACGTAATATCCCGGAATTAAATGGACTGGTAAAATTTTATTTCCAACCGGTCGCCGTAACGTCTGGTATTATCAAGTCCGCGTGACGTACGCTCTACAGGTGTCACTATTATCTCGTTTTCTGCCGCCTCTGACGTAAAATCTGACCGACGCGACCAGCGCACGCTTGTTCCGAGCTTATTTAATCGAAAAGCAGATAAACCAGTCGAATTCTCCGAGCCTATGATCCTCTCTCCCTTTCTTTCTCTCTCTATCTATCTATCTATCTATCTGTCTCTCTTTTATCGCGATTCGAATTAGTTTCTTGTTTGAATAACCGATAAATTTCAACGAGCTCGCCGGTTTAATTAACGTTATTATCGAGTGGCCGGGTGATTTATTTACCTTTCTGGCAACTCTGACCACAAGCACCGTGCAGGCGGCGTGCAGCGCAACGTTCACCAGATGATAGCCCCACGGCTCCAGGCCGCCCAGCAGATGATTCAGGCGAAAGGTTGCCACGCAGAGAGGCCTGTAACTGCCGTGCGAACCTCGATCGTTTAGGGGCGTGCCCCAGAAATCGTTCTCCAGCAGCCGGGACCACGGCGTGCTGGACAGCAGGTCTGGATTCGTCAGGATAGCTCTTCTGCAACGAGATTGACACACGATTCCGTTAGTAGCGCTTCGACTCGCTGAGAGCGTAGCGACTTAAAAAGTTAGCTTACAAAGTAACTTCATGACGTGTATTGAGTCACATGTATGTATATTACGCGTGTAAATACATTTTGACATTTCGTTAACGCTGTAATGAAATCATCGTTATTGTGATTATATCAGCAGGACCCGAAACCAATCGTGAAAGTATAGTGGAAGTTACGGAATATTTATTGCAAACATATATTTAAATGAAAGACAAAAGTCTGCGTGAAAGTAGTCTGGATGATTGTTTAAACCATAGTAATCATTAGGTTCCAAAAATTGTTCGAATATTTTCGCGAGCAAAAGATTTTCGATTGCCAGTAATTAGTTAGTTGGAAGCTTCGTCAATTTTTCTCCAATCATTGTTAAATGTAATCAATATCTTTCAATCAGGTTTTCATCACCTGTAGGAGTAATTTTGAAAGAAAATAATTTCCCAGGCTTACTTAACCTCTTGCGTGTGCACGTCAGGAATTTTTTTTAATTCCAAAATTGTAATATTTCCTTAGTTTCAAGTATATTTAAAACAAATAATAAATTTGTCACTTCTCAATAATTTCTGATCCAGCGATATCGTACCGACGAGTTCAAAAAGAACGCGACGAATTATTCGGCCACTCGTTATGGTCCGCGAACCAATTTCCAGCGCAATTGGCTAACCTTTCGTTGCGCGAATGTCTGTCGTTGCTTCACGCCTATATTTTTTAACATTATGCCCACGTATTCTGTACAATTTTTGCACGTGTCGATTTCTCCAAGTGAAATTATCTACTTTTCGCCACTTACGCGACGAAAACATCCCGTATATCATTTATAAATCCTCGTCTCGCTGAAAAATCGTCCCACGTTCCATAAATCGTTTTCACGGTTTTGTTTGCGGACGAACAGCAACACCGTCTCGCGGGTCGTAGCGTTTTAATCGACCTGTCCGCCGATCGATATTCATGAGCGGTGTTATGGGCTTGTCTGGAGACTGCGATACCGCAGGCGACGCACCTGAGCCATCGTCGTCGACGTGAGGAAACAGTAGCAGGGCTCGATGAACACCAGGCCAATAATTTCGAATTCCACAACCCTCCAATAACCCCCGTGCGCGTGGAGGGTCGTGTGCCGCATTTTCTACGTGAGCCAGCGCGCCACCGCTTCGAGATGGCCACGATCGACAATGGCGGCGGCGCCGGTCGGATTCTTCTCGCGCGGAATTTAGATCGAACATCTGTTCTCCCACGTACGCTATCGTAATCGAGAAATCAAATCGACCAACGAAATAACGGAGTCGTGTCCTGACTGCCGGACCTGTACACCAGGTTCTCGATAATCGATTGCTTTAGAAACACTGTCGAGCAGTTTGTTTAACCACCTTGTTGTCCGGAAACACTGAACTTCGTCAATTTTCAATGAACGACTGACTTTAATCTATAAATGCAAATTATTCGTAAATTATCTGTTGCAAATTAACTGGTAGGTAAAAATACTGCCAGGCGGTTTTAAATAAAATTAAATTTATTAAATAGAAGTTACCGATAATAAAGATGGGTGATTTTAAATAAAATTTATTAAAATAATAGGCGATTTTAAATAAAATAAAAAAATAAAATAAATAAAATTTAATAAGTAGAAGTTATTTATAAAATTACCTATAATAAAGATAGGTGATTTTAAATAAAATTTATTAAAATAATAGGCGGTTTTAAATAAACTTTATTAAATAGAAGTTACCTATAAAGATGGATGATTTTAGATAAAATTTATTAAAATAATAGGCGGTTTTAAATAAAATAAAAAAATAAAATAAATAAAATTTATTAAATAGAAGTTATTTATAAAATTACCTATAATAAAGATAGGTGAGTTTAAATAAAATTTATTAAAATAATAGACGGTTTTAAATAAACTTTATTAAATAGAAGTTACCTATAATAAAGATGGGTGATTTTAAATAAAATTTATTAAAATAATAGACGGTTTTAAATAAAATTTATTAAATAGAAATTATCTATAAAATTACCTGTAATGAAGATGGGTGATTTTAAATAAAATTTATTAAAATAATAGGCGGTTTTAAATAAAATTTATTAAATAGAAATTATCATATATAATAGAGATAAATAGAATTTAATAAATAGGAATTAAACAGGAAAGGCTCAATACGACGATGACAAAAGATATTTATCTCACACTCTCGTGTGATTCTTTCACGATCTGGATTCTCGTTCTTCGCACACACACAATCATATCCTAATATTTCAAGTTCCAAACTTGGGCGATTAAAACAAACATTCTTCAGGCCTGGGCTTCGATGTGACAATTGTCTCGGACACGCAGCAGGCGACGATTGCCTCGCTCTTCTGGCCACACAGGAAGAAGTTCTGAATTCTGAATAAGAAGTTCTCAATTTTCCAAGCTTCTTCATCCAATATAATTATCTGAAGAAATGAATGATTTCAAAGGGATGGCAATGTGGTGTGTGTAGTTTTTTTTTTTTTGTAAACAAAGGTCATATGAAGATCACCTCGACTATTTCAAATGAAAGGATATATTTTTTAGTAGTGTTCCTGTCTGTAGTGCGACATGTGATTAGAATATTCTCCTCGTCAACGTGTTTTAACAAAAAATTTATGACTATTATTTATTTACTTATTTTTTAATACAATTTGTTTATTCCTCACTCTTTCGTCAGTTTATCCTTGTCTTTATCTTGAAACGAAGTGACGCGCAGTTTTGTCGATGATTCAAACTGGCGTTTTAAAGATGGCTCGAGAACTTTTTCATGGGAAATATTGATTTTATAGATGAGATATAGGCATCGAGTTTAATTCAAAGTAATTCGTAATTGTGCAGCATAAGATATATTTATAAGAGATGGAATTGCCTTAACTAGAATTAGAAACTGTCTTTATTATTTTTATTTGTTATTATCTTTTACCATTTGTTATTCTTTATTACATAAACTTGTCGAGAGACAAACAATTTACATCATTGGACTCCATATAATAAAATTTCTCCACCAAATTTTTCGTTCGTATAATTGTACCTTGACTAAAATTTTATAAAAAAAAAAAAGGATTTCGCATATTAAAGGAATTCCACTGTATTATCCCTTATTATTATCTTACAATCCTATATAAGATGTGGAGGATTTTGATTCAGAAATGATCCAGTTCACAGATTACGTTTGCAAATGGTTTCTATTGAACTTGAAAATACATACTAAATCAGTGAGCTAAATGGTTGGTGCAAAGGTAGATTAAACGATCTTGGTTTAAGATGATTCAATCTCCCCAGCCCCCGGTTAAAACGGTAAATTGTTTGTAACGGTAAATGCAATTCGTTTCCTTGTAATAGGAAATTCATAAAGCCTTGCCTGGCGTTAATTCTCTTGCATCATGTATATTCAGTTCATAATCCACATTTATGTAGCATTTGATTTTCTAATTACGAAACAGATTTTGCGTGAATCTATCAGCTGTTGTTAGTCTGTTGTTAAATGAAATTTGAACGTGACACTTTTGGCTTTAATCGCCGCAGGAGTAATTATCAACGGTGTCTGAAATGTTAAAAAATTTGATATCTCTATTTTACAGTTTTATCGATTTTATGTAAACACTGATGAACGAAATGAAGTTGAATTGTGTACCTGTATTGCAAAATAATATCGTTCTCTAATATTATTCTGTAGTACGTTTAATATTTTTAAAAAAAACGTATGGTAATAAAAAGCAGAAACATTATAACTTCCCTATTAACTCATCCGAGTACTGTCTATTGTCTGAAGATTCCAAGCATTTACTGTGACGAGTCTGTTCACAATCACAAATTTAATGTAACTTGAATACTCGCGAAGAAATTATGCTACGCTTCACTGACTTACTCTGTAAACACTGAAGATGACAACGACAAAATTCAAAGAACACGTTTAGAAAAGAAACGTAGAATCTATTTAAATCTGAAAACACAAATCACAATCACAAAATGACAATATGTAAATATTTTCCATCAGACATAGATACTTGAAAATACTTCCTTGCAAGTGAATCCAGTTGAAATCACTAATTTTATTGTCAAAACGTGACAATGTTTTATGTTTAAAAGATTTCAATGTTTTCAAATACTTTCGTACAATTGGTGTTCGATCAGAAACGACACTGTTCCCTGCAGATCGTTTCAGTTGCACGAGTTTCAAATATTTTATCGAAAGTCGATGTGAAATATGTAGACCACCAAGAAGGCAAACGTAACATAAACTTTTATTCGAGATTTCCACTTGATTCGATCTACATTGCTGTCACGCCAGTTCCCTACATTTCGCCTTTTTTAAGAACTCTCGACAAATCAACGTGAAAGAAGAACGGTTTTAAAAGTTCCCTTCATAAAAGGGAATATCTGTTCGTCGAGATCCGTCATTACACAGACGGATATCCGCGCAGCGCAGCAAGTTTCGCGTAAACGATTTCGAAAAGTTCAGCCACGCAAGTTTACCATAAGTCGTTCGAGTGAGAACGGTTGATCGCCGCGTAACGGCGGGCACGAGATTTACGATCGTCGCAAAATTCATTAGAATTCGGAACAATTCACCGCGACTTGACTCGGCGCTCGGAGTTTCCCTCGGTTTCCGCAGAGTTGGAACACTCTCGACGCGTTCGTACGAACGAACAGGATGCCACGTAAATTCCCTTCGTCGCTGTTTATTTCAATTTCCGGATCACACCGGAGCGCGCGCAATTCCAAGAAAAAAAAAAAAGAAACAGGGGAAAGATCGGCCAGTGTTATTAAAACACGAGCTGGGGAACCATGTAGATTTTAGCATAAGATTTTAAAAAGACAGACTTAGTTATTCAACTTCTGCATTTAAAATTTATCTTGATTCAACATCGAGGTCGCAGTCGTTTTTTTTTTTTTTCTATATGATTCATAAAAGAATATAACGCCGTCAAACCCCTAAGGTAA